CATGTTTTATGCTTTTAATATGTTGCTATCACATGCTGAAAACCCTTAATAACATAAAATATAAGGCCTGGTTGCATATCGCCATGTAAAACTGACCAATTGCTTGATTGGGAAGGTCGTTATTACAAACAGCCTGCGAAACGTGATTCGATTGTTCACGTTTGAGATGAATTGGGTTGATCTGTTGTTGACAAAAAACATTATGAAACTATAATTAAAAAAATAATATATATAACTCTGATGCATGAATTATTAATTCACAAAAAAATAGCTTCTTTTGACTTCAAAACAGCACTGTAATAATTTTATTGTTAGGTATTAAAACAACTTGTAACGTTTAAAAATAATAAAAACATCAGATATATTGTCTTTTAAAATATAAAATATTTTTATTTTATATGGTAAGGCAACTTCATTTAGTTAACAACATTTTATTAACTATAGCATTTCTGTATATTTTTTTCCTGTTAAAATTACTAAACTTCTACAGTAAATAATATAATCATTCCCAATCCCTCTTTCCTTAGATTATGTATTTGCAAAAAAATATAATTTTCTTTTTTACTTGTAGCACCACTTTCATCAGAAATTGTGAGTTTATGTTATCATTAAATGGTTAAAAAAATGCATGCAGTACTGTTTCATCACACAGTTGCAAAACATTCAACGCACAAAATTTCTTAATGCAACCGGATTGGGTGAATCTCACAAAAACTGTCCATAAATATCCAGATCACGTTGTAGTTCAAAATAATTAGTAAGAAATTAAAGATATATTTAGCTTAAGACATAAATTCCCATTTTGGACCATTATGATTTGTTGTATTGTCCCTTTAATGTGCTTTATTTCTGATGCAAATTAGATTGAATTCATCACAATGTTTTTTATGCGATATTGCATTCGATTCTAAGTTAAAAATCCACATTGCAAGCAAAAATCAAAAAATTTTCATGCGACTTTCATGCAGAACAGTGTTTTGTTCTTAACTTAAAGTGGTTTTCATCCTAAAGTGTTTTTTGTGTCTCTTTAGTGCTTCTCGGCAGAGGGAAGGCCGCCAAGGATTTCA